CCTACAACTAATCACAGACAAACAAAAGTTCTTGACTCTTGTAACATTTTTTGAAGGACTACTGAAATAAAGGTGTGACAGAAACGTGCACTGTGCACCAGGCTCAGTGACAACTGGGTCGGGCTGCAGGAGGAGCTCGGTGTCCACAGTGTGCTGCACCGACATCAGGCTACAAAATCAGCCCCACTTTTTAAGCATGTTACTATGACGTAATCTTCATATAAACTAAATCAACGGACTGTGCCACTAGCAGCAGCTTCTCACAGTCTGAACCAAAGTCCTGTGCGACAGGCTCAAAGCACAGCTGGACCCGAGGCAGCACCTCACTGCTTTAAAGAAACACAGCTGGCCACATCATTTCATAGTTGATGAATTCTACCTGATCATGGCTCCGAGTAGGACCAGACGGTTCCCCTGTTCAGTGACATCAATTTTCAGCTCCACCTGAGGAGACAGAGTTCTGTTCAACATGATTTGAGGTTTGTGTTTTTTAAACAAGCTTATTCTTGTGTGTTATTTTTATTATCCAAAGGAGTTTTGAGATAATTATGTTTGAGATAAAACAAATGTGCACATCCTTAACGAGCACTTTTTACTTACAGTACTGTGGAGCTTATTTATTAATACCATCTTTTTTCTTAAGTGCTTCTATTGACTTGTGGTGAAATGCTGTATATGTTTAAGATCATTACATTGAAGTATTTTATTATCATTGCAGGAATACAGTGGTGCAGTCGACGGAGCAGTTGGCCCAATGTCTTAAAATCCTTTATTGGTGCATTCTGAGTGTTTCTCTTGATGTGTAAACAGTTCAGGAACAGGAGCAATGGCAACACTGGAAAGTTCATATCAGAATCAGGGTTGTTGGTTTCCCAGGGGAAGAAACTGTCCCTGTGCCTGGTTGTCTTGGTGCACTGTGACCTGTAACGCCGTCCAGAGGGGAGGAGTTCAAACAGATTGTGTCCAGGGTGTGAGGGGTCAGCAGTGATCCTCTCCACCCTCCTTTTGACCCGTGAGGTGTACAGGTCCTCCATGGAGGGCAGGCTCACACCAATGATCTTTTCTACAGTCCTCACTGTCCTCTGAAATCTGTACTAGTCCTGTTTGGTTGCTGAGCCAAACCAGACAGTGATGGAGGTGCAGAGAACAGACTGGATGATTCCTCTGTAGAACTGCATCAGCAGCTCCTGGGGCAGGTCGAACTTCCTGAGCTGGAGCAGGAAGTTCATCCTCTGCTGTGCCTTCTTGGTGATGGTGCTGATGTTGGACGTCCACTTCAGGTCCTGGGAGATAGTGGAGCTGGTTCCTCCTAAAGTCTGTTGTGACCTCCACAGTTTTGAGTGTGTTCAGCTCCAAGTTGCTGCGACCACAGCACAGGACCAGCTGTTCATCTTTTCTTTTAAATGCATGTCACCAAATCAGGGGTTGTGTATGAATGTGTGGGAGTGAGAGGAAGTATTCTGGTTCCGCTGCTCACATGCTCCATGTTTCTGATTTTAAAGAAGGACTTGGACACCGATACCTGAATACAGCACAAAGGCATTGAATTTCTGACTTGGCGACAGGGATATAGGAGCATGAGATGAGCATGTAGACACAATTAATGAGCAGGCTGTCCCTACAGATGCACATGGCCCCACACTGTCTACACACTGTCCTGTATGTCAGCACTTTACTGCTGCAGTGTGTGAGGAGACAACAGTGTGCAGCCTTCCCTGTGGTGTCCCCATCAATATAATGGGCTGGTATTTGAGTGTGTGCGTTTGTGTACAGCTATTGTTACCATAGTTATATTAGGAGCAGCCCCTCCACTGTCAGTGTGAAGAGGAGCTGTGACATGTTGAAGAGGAGGAAAGAAAGGACTAAACAGGTGTATGACACACACACACACACACACACACACACAGTAGCTGTGAGGACACTCTCCTGGCCTCTTACCCTAACTAAACCTGGCTCTAACCTGAAACCTCAAACAGCCCTTTGGAGGTGAGGGGGCCTGGCAACATGTCCTCACAGTGATTATTTCAAACAGAATCTACACAACAACAGAAGGACATGTGTACACACACACACACACACACACACACACAGTACAATGTTCCTAATATAACTATGCCGACAATAGGTGCAAGGAGATACAGTGGTGAAATGTGTCTTTGTGTGTGTGTGTTGGGGGGGGGCAATCGTTTGTGCAAGGTTGTGACTGCATGTCAGACAGACAGACAGACAGACACTAAAGGTGGAAGAAGAAGCTTGAATTTGCCGCTGAGGGTTCTGCAGGGAGATGCTGCCCTCTACAGGTCAAAGCTGATATAGCTGTGTGAGCCTACCCTCTGTAGTCAGTTTATTAGGAACACCTGTGTCAAACTAAGTTGGTCTAATCCACCAGGCCTGCAGTAAATCCTCTCTTGTGAAGGTGATAGGAAGGTTTGTATTCAAGCTGTTTCACCTGTGTAATCACTGTGAGTTCAGCTGCACTGTGTTACTCAGAGAACTGTCTCTGGTATTTTGTCCACCCTGTTATATCACTGAGGCTAGGCTTCAGACAACTCTCTGGGTAATGCAGAGCAGTTTTTTACAGCTTGTTTCCAAACTCCTCTGACAGTCAGTGGTTTGGACGACAGATGCAGTGTCACTCTCTGCCGCGATAAGACCAGTGGCACTCACCCTAATTATTATGAAGTGCTTTGAGAGAGTGGTGCTGGCCCACATTCAGAGCAGCGTACCGGGCACCCTGGACCCCCTGCAGTATGCCTACCAGCCCAACAGGGCCACCTCAGACACCATCGCGGCTGCCCTCCACTATTCCCTTTCTCACCTGAAAAATGGAGACTCCTACATCAGGACACTCTTCATTGACTACAGCTCCACCTTCAACACAGTTGTCCCCCACAAACTCACCCACAAACTGTCCACACTAGGTCTGCACCCCACCCTCTGTGC